ACTCACGGGAAACCGAAATTAAGAGACCTATTACATTAGGAAGTCCAGGCACCTGAACCTTTATTACGCCTTGAAATGCTTCTTGGAGAATGACATCTAGAATGCATGCCAAACCACGGCATGACGGACGGCACATAGGCAAATATACAATGATCGTAGATCTGTACGACCACTCCGACACAGGTTGTAAATAATTAAATATCCTCACAGGGCATGACAGATGAGCATAATTTGCATCCGATGATAAGAAGGCTCTCAAGCCACGCAACATCGCACCCACACATAAAAAAAAAAAAACGACGTTGAAGGGTTAGCTTGCCAATGGCAGGATCTCCCTTTCAGATTTTCTAAGAAGGGCGAAGGCATTCTCTGGCCTTTGAATGGTCCGTGTTTTGTTGCTGTGGTCATCTTAAATAGTTTAACCAATTGCCATAAAGTTTACGGAATAGGCCACTCAGAGAGAAAAGCTCCATCTATCGTAGGCAACGACAACCAGCGCCAGCCGCCATGCTTCAGGATGAACTCTATGGCTGCAGGGTAGTGGGGCGTCGTCGCATACGTTGCATAGGCCGTAGACGCTAGTTTGACTGCGTCAGTTCCACGGCCCACGATGCCAACATACCGCTGCGTACCCCTCTATAAGCAGAGTAGGTACGTATTCGTAAATGTACTCGTCATCGGTTGACGGGCGTCGGTCGGGTTCGTTTGCCGTTTGCCTGCTCAAGTGCAAGAACGGAACACGAGCCGTTCCCATCCAACGCTCCTTGGACGTTTGAGTCCGGTGTTTTTAATCCCACTTTGTTGCTTTTGGGGGTAGAGTTTTTAATTTTTAGCTTATTTGGAGAAGTCAAAGCGTAAAATACGGATGTAACGTTGCTCGCGGTACCGCTTGTGGACATGACATTACAGGATACGTAGCTTCACGTATGCGCGAGCTCGCGGTGCTTCCAACTTATGCGTGTAAATTATGTGTTAAGTACGCACGAAGCCATATGACCACATGTTTTAATAGACAGTTTTAGTGGACCGTACGCTATAGCTTTGCGTACGCAAGGAGATTGCGGGTCGTGAGTGCGCATGCGCAGAACGCAATAGAAGGGCTAGCGTATTGCGTACGCACGCAACGCTGGGGATTTCGCGTTGCTGGCTAGCGGGCCTTGCGGGACGCTCTCGAGAGATCTCGGACCCAACGAGAGCGCCAGTTTTAAGATGGTGGTTGCCTCGACTGGCGCAGCAAGGGCGACGTGGTGTTTTCGAAGTTCTGCGTTACGTGAAATTGCGGGGTGTTCAGCTCGGCGATTCTTTCTGGGACCTACCGCGGTCGAATCAGATCGCCCTGCAGCTGAAGCAGTGCACAGTGGAAATGTTTGCCGCTCGCAGTGTGCGTCGACGCTGCGATCTGCTCAACACTAAGCCTATTCCCACAGCTCATCGCCGACGGACGAACGACTCTAAAAAAAATCGCCGAAGTTCTCGCTATGCACTGGGCATCAGGGTCATGAATTTCATTCTGCGAAAGCATTGATAAAAGGTGCCGTTTCCACAGGACGACTGACGGAGGCTCCGTGATCGAATTTGGCTACGCACTCGTACTCGTAGCCTCTGTACCCCGCAGAAAAGCGCGCTTGACGAGGCAGCTGTGGCTTGGTTTAATCTGAAATAAAAAGTTTGGACACTTTTTCTTTTTCAATATTTCTTTCCAGGAGCATGGTTGCGCTACAAGCACGCGGAATTTTACGGCTCTAGCAGATTTAACCAAGATCACGCGCGGTGTTCACTCGCAAACGTAACGCACAACTAAATTGGGTCTGAGCAGGTCATTTTTAGCGTACGCTATACTATTGCGTATTGCGTACGCAAGAGCCAGCAACGCTATACTAAAACTGTCTAATGCCTCTACGTATAGTTGCGTTTGACAGCGTTTGAGTGCGTTTGACTGCGTTACGGCTGCGAAAAACCAAGACATCCCTGCTCCTTATGTCGCGCGCAAAGCTACTCCTTGAATAGGATTCCACGGTTCATAAGAAGCAGAGATGTGCCGGTGACTCGGCTTTCGTTCTTCGACGTAACGCAGTCACTCTGAAACGCAACGGTGCGTAGGGGCTTCGCCTGTAGCGCGCACACACCTGTGCCGGGCATGCTTTATGTAAAGCAACATGCACCCCCTGATGTAAGGTGACATCAGTGCCGTGGCTGGCTCAGAAAAAAAAAAGCTTTCTAAATGTACATGGTAGTGTATACAAAGGAGATGAAAGAAGCATCATATAAAATGCTCCATAAGCACAATCTAGCATTCGAGAAAATTTTTTTATAAACCAACAAATAAGCACCTGCTTTAATATGGAGTCTTAATTTCACTACAACATATTTTCGCTGGAATTAAATTTACCGCAGAATTAACATATTGCACATTGCGTTGTAGTAGGAAAGCAAGCTTTTTTTCTCCATCACCATTGCTTGAGCTAGGGTTTTTATCGGCGTCTATGATCCTTTTGAAGCGAAATCGCAGGAACCCCTAAATCTGTTGCGTGTTCTCCCGAACAAGCTCGAGAAGTCACCAGGATTTTGACCAATCCGAACGCCTTCTTCCGCATTGACCTTACGACGTCCCCACCGAATGAAGTTCAAGGAGCCCGTATTTTTTTATCTGCCAGTTAGGTGCGGCGACAGCGCCTTAAACAATAGACGCTTCCGATATCACGGAAGCGTTCCGCGCATGCGCGACGCCGCCTTAACATGTGCTTCATAGGAGGCAGGCGCCAGTTCACGGGACAGCTCGTGCTGCCTCCCGCTCTGCACGCTCAGGCTCTCAGTGCGGTTGTCGTGCTTGCGAAAAGACTAAGCTTCCGACGATGCCTGGTGACAGCGGTGGCGTGATGAAATTGGCTGTGAGATCGGTCTATTGAATGTACAAGAGAGATCGATCACCCGAAGTCCGAGGAAGCCTTGGTAATCATCTACAGAATGGAGAAGAGGGTCCCATATCTGGTCAGGGACAAAACATCCCAGATGAAACTTGGTCTTTACCTTTTGTGTCAAGGTCAACGATTCTATGAAAATAGTAACCAAATGAATCGGCCCCTAATAGCATCACGGTACTAGGAACAAACCCGAAAATGTATGTGGATACAGAAATAGAAAATGCATTTGAAAAATGGTATTGCAATACAGAAATATAAATACATAATGCATTTCTGAAATACCATCGCGGTGCATGTGGAGCGCACTACTTCCCAACCCTGGCTGCCAGATAGACTGACCGGGTAGTGAAGTGCAACTCTGACGGGTGTTTGGCAGTTTAGGTAACAATACACCCATACTCTGAACAACAAAAAAAAAAATCAAGCTTGGTTTTCTTTTTGCTTCTTCGGACTTTCAAATTCCTGAATGGCCAAACAAAAACGAAATTCTTGGCTAAAAGAACTGTGCTACTTGGGTTTGCTCCACAAACGAGGTACACATTTCTCGAAGCAAAGCCAGCAATTCCTAGATAGCAAGGCCCTATATTTCGTTCAGTCCTTAGCTTAGACTAGGCGGAAGGTACGTCCTCGTTGGACCAGACATACGCCTCTATTTCGTCACATGATCAGGTTCCCATTCATACTCACGCGCAGAGTGGCGGGTCGGGTAATGAAGGAGAGGTGGCTGATTGGTCCGGGCGGGGCCAATCAGCCCCCTCTCAGCTTAGGAATGAACGGAGTAAGGAACCGGACGTACTACGCCACGTACCACTGGTCGGCGCTGGGCACAGGCTGAACACAATTGCTGCGCCAGCGTTTGAATGGGACTGGGGTACATGCAGTGACAGCGGCATTCTCAGCCGCAAGCTGACGCAGTATTTCTTTCCGTCCTGTCATCTCCCGTATGCCAGAAACCAAAGCCTAATGGGACGTTCGTGTTTGGCAGGCTGACCATCCGTAAGGTCGGCCTGCCTTTGATGTGCGGCGATACTGCTTAACGCTGTAAATGAAAAATGTAGCCAGTTTAGTTCCACTGCTAGCCTGGGTCGGTTTGCTGGTGAATGCGGTTATCTCTCCCGATGGTTAAAATGGCTGCCAGATGGATTTTGAGGTGACGTGACCGGCTCCGTGGTGTAAAGAAACTAAAGGTACCAAGCGTTCCAGGCAGAAGGCTGCAGTAAGTTTCCTTGCTTCGATTATTCAAGTTCGATTTTGAGTGCAGGAAGTGTCTGAAATTAATCGCGTTAGTGCAAGAGCGGCATGTAAATATATTTCTGGGGAAGGTCGTGCTGAGTGAGAATTAAAGAAAACGGGAAGCAAGGCTTATGTCTGCTGTGCGGAATCGGTTGGTGCGCTAGACTCTTTCTCCCCACGGAGCAGGTCACGCGACCTCAGAATCTCTCTTGCGGATATTCTAACCACCGGGATAGATAACCGCATTCACCAGCAAATCGGCTGTCTGGGTTTGTAACGTGCATCACGCAGTAGTGATGCACGACCGCACGCCTTTACGATTCTCGCCCAGATCGAAACGGGCAGGGTGGGTATCGAATTAAGGATCCCTGGGTTCTGCAGTGCGAGGAGGCAGCCTCATGGGAGACAGCCTCCTATGAGGAAGTTTCCTCTGAGATTGCCTGATAGGGAGCAGTCTCATATGAGAATGCCTCCTCTGAGTATTGCAGCTTGCGCCACGTTCCCCGAGCTCCAATGCGCTAACACACTCGGCTGCCTAACCCCCTCCGCACAAGCTTTAATACTATTAGAGGTGCTCTTGACAATGGGTAGTTGTTAACTCATTTTGAAGGGTATGGTATGAAGAAACGACGTAGAAAAGTCGGAGACTCAAATGATGTAAACCTAGCATTTTTTTTCTCATTCCGCTGCTTTTTTCTATGATGGGAGCGGTCTCGAGTTGTTCTTATAGTGCGCTGAATTGACGAATGATGGTATTGCATCTTCTTGGCGTCATTTTGAAGGTGGGTGTTGCTATGTTGACGCCTTGTTTCCGGTTTATATATAAGCGTAGAATTAAAAAGCATTGGCTTAGAATCTGTGTTCTCTTCCTTGCGTTCTAAACAAACTTATTGACTTCTTTTCACGATGTTAATTCTTAAGCGTTCTGCCTACTACTTGGCATTTTGTGTAGTTCTGACAAGATACCTCTCGTCCGGCTCAAATGAGGACTTGGATAAATGCTATGGAGAAGAGAATGCCGCAACATATTCCGCATGGGATGAAACATCACCTACGAATATGCCCGACATAGGAAATACCTCCTATGGACTGAAAGGTAGACTGGCGATCGTCACAGGCGGTGCAAGTGGAATCGGCAGGAGTGTTTGCTTAGTTCTGGCTCGCGAGGGTGCCACAGTCGTGGTGGCTGACATAAACTCAACCGGCTCGAGTATAACCCTCGAAATGTTGAAAGGTGGGTACCGTCACTTACAATTTAAGTAGAATCTGCGTCTCCTCGGAGTTCTATACTTTATTCTCAGTACAAAATGGGGAATGTAACTTTACATTTGTGTTCACTTGGATCACATTATTCACGTTTTAACTATTGTTGACTACAAAACGCATATACTATCAGAAGAGATGAACGATGTACGTGATATGCCCCTAGGTCGTGTAATTGGTTGCAGGAATAGCAACTAAATAATCTTAGCGATATTGAAATATTGTACCTGTTTATATTTATTTGTGACTAAACTAAAACGTTTTAGTTTGCGGTACGTATCATACAGAAGCTTGCGTCAAGGCTGATCTTGTGCTGATTATTAGAGATACGTAAACTGACTGGGACCTTGTGCAATAAAAAAAGCCACTTTGTAAGTCAAAGAAGACCACCACAAAATATTTATATTTTATATTTACTGGAACGGCGTAGTTCGCCGTCTTCAGCTACTGCTTGTTTTATGCTGACATTGGCCAATACGTTTAGACAGTTCTTCTATTTGGCGAGTGATGCAATTCCGCGAGAATATGACTGCCAACCTGAACAACCCTAGCATAGGCTAACAACCGCTCGGAAAATCGGTGAAAGTTTTATCCAGCTGAGAAAGTAATAGTATTTATCTAAGTTTATTATGCCAGCGTTATGAAATGAAGATACGCTCTTTTTGGTAAGCCTTCCTTTATCAAAAAATCTTCACTCCGTCAGAACGTACGCACTAAATTAGGTGAATTTAGAAGTAAATTACGTTCGACAATATTTGCGATTAAGAGTAAGCAGGGGTTTATTTTTGCCGATTGCTCATTTCCCAGCGAATGTTGACAATTATGTAGCAGCGTAAAAATCTGGGCGGCCTGGTGATGAATTGAAACGAGACTACAGCGCAAAAGGACAACGGTCCAGAAGAAGACACAGGCAGACCAGGCAACGCAGTAACAAATGGCTGATTTTTTTTATTAGGAAACTATATACTGAGTATGTATAGGTTATGTTTTGTGTTTTCATGTTTTTTCCTAATAAAAACATGTTTGTCAGCACCTGTTTTGCCTGTGTCGTCCTCTGACCCATCGCCATGTTGCGCTGTTTTCTTGTTTCATTGACCAATCTCGTTGATTTTGTCTATAAAACAATGTATACTTGACGGGTTTCGCATTTTTTAAAAATAAAAATTACATTGCTGCATAACCTTTCTCAGAACACTTGTGTAAAATAATGCAGGCTTCAGACCGATTGGACGTGTAGTAGAATGAAAAAAAAAATTTTAGAAATATTTTTTTTTCGCGGCGAGATTGTAACTTACAATGACCGAGCTTTGTTTTTCCGAGCAGTTGACTAAGCTCAATAATTGTTTAAGTGTATACGAGTTGCTTGCCGCGTTCTAGAACACTTATGTTAATATGATTTAGGTGGTCTTTGTTTTCCTATGCTTTATATATATTGCTCTGGTAAAAAGCAATATGTTATGAGACAGTTCCATCGTTACCGTAAAGACCCGAGACAACCCGCCACCTATTTTTGGCTTGATTTGCTAGATATTTTCTTTTAAACGCTGAAAAATACCCCACTCCTAGTAATCGTAGTGTTGGGATGAATGATAACTTCGGCTTAGATGCGTCTAGTTAGCAATGGCGGGATATAATCGATCATTGCTGACTGGAAAGCACAGTCATCTTTTCTTAATCGCTCGTCGCCGCGATAAGAAGTTTGGAAGAGACACATGATCTGAAAATAAATTGTGTTTTAACTTTTCTAGATTGCACTCCGAAAGATAACCCGCAACTTATTTTCACTCGATTTTCTCGCGATTTTAGGAACTATCTCTCGGGATATTACGGCATAACAATCTGAACTCACACAATGGTGCAACTCGGATTGTTAGTTGCGAAGATGATCGTGTTCACGATGGGACAGCTTAATAGCTGTTCTGCTCTTAGTTTACTACACCTTATTTTTGAGAATTAATTATGTAGTTATAAGTACACGATAATGATCTCTTCATAACAATAAACAGACACACGCCGATAAGGGAGCATTAGTAACATGCACACATTCAGAAATTTTGTCAAGGGTCAGTGTGCACTAATGTACGCAGTAGAAGCACGGTAACTGCAAAACATACCTTTTGAATCCTAATTAAAATATAAGCACGATATTTGCTTAACTCACCCTCCCAATCCTGAATATTATTGGATTATATTTACATAAAATTATTTTGCGCTTCCAATAATCTAGTAGAGCAGGAGTGTCGTGTGATTGCGAATATTGAATGTTAGAGGAGGCTTGGGTGCATATATATCCAGAAACAATTGTTTGCAAGTTGAATGACCATAATACACATTAGAGAAAGCATCACCAGTTTGAGAATGTTACGTATAAAATTAATTATAAAGTTTAATTTTTATCACCGGTAAACTTTATTGTTCTAAACCGGCATCTCAGTCATTCGGTTTCAGTGCAGTTAGCCTCGGTCTGATTGCCTCAGGCATATCGCTTTACTCTTGATAACTTCACCTTGCTGCCGACCCTTGGGTCAGCATTTGTATTTTAAAATATTTAATGAATATAATAATATTTTATCTTTATTCAATCATCGATTTTTTTACAAGGAACCGATGTAACCCAAAGGGAAGTGAAACGTTGGACAGTGATTCTGAGTTTCATTGAGAAAATAATAAGCTTTGTTCTGCCGGACACTAACGATTTGGCTTTCAAACCATAAATCACCCACGTTCACTATATATCTGTATGTTTGTTTTTGCCCAGAGTTATTCACGCTTTGTATGCGTATTCTTTTCAAAGTAATTTCAGGCAACGATAGCGACCAGATAAGCGCTTTTGTGGATCGGAAGAAAACTTCGACAATATTCCTTCAAAACATATGACTTCTTTTTCAATCGTTAAACTGGACTTGAAAAAGATTACGCGAAAAGAGTTTTGAAAAAGGCAGTAAAAAAGGTACCCCGAAGGCAACTGTATCAGTCAATCGTCTATCGCCCTAGATAGGGCAACCCGAAACGTTTTGGTTTTGTAATTTTTCTAAAGAAATGGTTTTGTTTCTTATGTTACCTTAACAGGCGTCAGTGGGGGGCGTTTCTACGGATGTGCAAGGGTGGTGCCGGGTCCGGTTTTTGTGTTAATGTATAAATTGGATAATAGGTTTCACTACTTTGTATGACTTGCGGTCTCTGGTTCGAATTGAGGCCAAGGCTAGATGTACTCCCAGCTGAAGGTCACGAAAACGTGTACAAATTGCCGGGAAACGTGTGCGTGTGAGATGATATATATATCTTTGCGACAATCAAGTTTAGTAGCTGTGTTGGAAGACGTTAAGTGTTTTTCCCCCTTTTCGTTCATGTTCTCCGGTTTTTCAGAAATGTGTAACGTAAACCAGCTCACCTCTCCCCTCACTCACTCCCCAATTTTTTAATCCAATTTCATGAACCGTTATGTCGTCTTTTATCAAATTGTTTTCCAGCAAAAGAAAACGCGTCCCATACATTTGGCATAAATAGGGCGAGTCGTATTAAGGAGCGCAATTTTAGTGAAGGTCGGTATATTCATCTCAAGGAATGGGTGCAAAACTATTTGTTAACCAGAAAAAAAAGAACAATTTCTCTTTTTTAAGTATTGTACATTAATGCTCAGCATATTCAACGTTATCTAAACACCATATGTTTTAAATCTTATGTTTGAAGGCCATAATCGCGCCAAACGCTTTCTACCTTCAATTTATGCTTTGTACCAAAATTTATTATCTTTGACTCTTTTTTTCCTAATTGGTTCAGTTGTACCAATCTTTGTATCACGTTCCCTTTATGTAATGCCCGAAAGGGCCTTTAGGGTTAAAATAAATAAATAAATAAACAAGTAAATAAATAAAAATTACCTTGGCCACCTGAGTGCAATATGCCTCGGACTGACAACCGAATGCACGTCGGTCTGGTTTCGAATTACATAGTTTGATACCAGACCTTAGGCCAGCATTTCGCCCTAGAAATATTTAGTAAGCATTTTGTTTTATTCACTCATTGTTGTTTTCATTACTAACTGAATCAACCCATAGGGAAGAATGATAAGACTAGAAAGTTATTGAAAGTCTAAGTGAGAACATTTCCAGCTTTAATTTGCCGGACAGATGAATGACAATTCAATGATAAATCAAGATTGGTTTGTCTTCCAAATCAGAATTGACTCATATTTATTAGATATGCCTTAGTTTTCATTTTCCCCAGAGTTATTCAATTCAATCTTTGCATGCCCATTCTTTTCACAGTCATTTCAGGGAACGAAAGCGAACACATGACCGCTTATGTTGATGTAAGAAATTCAACCTTGGTGAAAGAGATGTTCCAATGCGTCAAAGATGCCTACTCTGATAAGAACATTAGCATTGTGGTGAACAGTGCCGGTATCATGCACAAGCCGACGCTCCTGGTCAACTTGTCTGAATGTTCATATGACAATACAATGAACACCAACCTAAAGGTACTGGGCATGACCTAAGAACCGCATTGCGTGTTGGGAATGAATTACTGAATAACCTTTTAGGACGTTATCTGTATGAATATATTAGCACACCATTCTTGATAATGGTGTTACGAATAACTTTTTAACACAAGCAAGCATAAAATCGTGTGCTGTGTTTTGATGACAGTTTAAATCAGCTGTAACTGCCTTGGTGTCGCTTTTAGAATATTGTAAAGAAAGACAACGATTACACTTATTCCTATCAGAGTATGGAACACGTTACACATGTTTGTTGACTTTTCTTTTTTGTTAAACGTTGAATAATAACACCATATTGCTACCGTGGGCCTTTTTGCGCTTCTGTATACTATATCACAGAAGGCTTCTCGGCCTTCTAGATTCTCAGTAGGCTTCACAAAGAGACGAACACTATTTGATTAGAATATATTCAGTCTTTCGAACCTTTTTTGAAAGCATCAAAACAGTGGAAACTTTAGTGATACGGAAAAGTCGCTAATACATTTTGGCAATGGCTCAATTAAAAAAAAAATGCCAAAACGTAAACCTTTTTTTTTTGGCGAATATTTTAACCTATATCTGCTTGCATCGTTTCTTAACGCAATTAAAAGCTTATATTCTAAGCTTGAACCAAAAAATAATGTTCCCAGCCAGCTGACCGATATATCTTCTCTTCTTGCAATTGAAACGTTTTTTAACTGGCACATATGTGGTATTTCCATAAGAATTAACTATGCTCCTTCACTTCCAGGGAACGTTCCTTGTCACACAGGAAGCTGTGAAATCCATGCTGAGTGACAACGTCACACTAGGGGCCATAGTGAACATTGCCAGCATAGTTGGAAAGGGTGGCTTCCCCACTGTGAGTGCGTACGCAGCATCCAAGGGCGGCGTGATCGCGTTCACGAAGTCCGTGGCCCGTGAGCTCGGAACGTCGAACATCCGAGTCAACGTCGTCCTGCCCGGAGGCACCGAAACACCGATGGCTCAGAAGTACTCCAACGAAACCAAGCGAAAGAGGTTGCAGGAAATAGTGCCCATGAAGCGGAACGCACAACCCCTCGAAATAGCGGAAGTGATCGTCTTCCTCTGCAGCAACAAGTCCTCTTACATGACTGGATCGCCCGTTGATGTAGCGGGCGGAACGTACATGTAAATGGTACGCGTCACCCAAAGACATTTACGTTCTTGGTCTCGCTTTCTCTCGCGGCTTCAAGCAATAGGCTCCTTGCACAGGACGTCATTTCCGTTGCCCTCCAAAGAAGAGGGGAAGAAGGAGCTCCCCTCTTATCAGGACAGTCCTTTGTACCTCCCGAATTTGTACAGGCGTCGCTATTCTCCCCCCAGAAGATTATAGAAGATTAACATGTCACTCAAAATTCTTACAAAAGCAGCTTCCCTCTCCTCCTCTTACTTGGTGTTCAAAAGTGTGCGATGTGACGTCAGTGCAAGGAGCCTATAAATAAGACACCTGGAGTCTTAAGACAAACAGCGGGAGCAAGGGATGTCTCCTGCTGCGATTAGTCAGCTGTGAGCAGACGGCGATGTTCCGGCGCCTATCCGTGCTCCCCATCTATTTCTTTCAGTTATATAAAAAACGTTTTTATTAACCTATTTATTTCAACTGCGTCTATCAGTCTTGAAACAATAATATGCTTAGGTGCTTAAAGTGTCATGTGCCTGCCATGCTTCTAGCCAAGGCCGGCGTTAGGCACGGGCTACGGGCACAGAACCCCCGAGGGCTGAACCCCGTTATTCACAACTATCGAGGGGTCTCCGCACCCACATCGGCTAATGCCGTTCACTTTGTTGGGATTTTATGTAAAATTTTTGTTGTTCCTCCGGAAATTGAAAATAGAAGAGACAGCCCGCCTATAGGGCACAGTCAGATCCATCTTTTCCGGTTATGTACTACGTCGTTTGGGCTTCGAGAAGTACCTTCTAGGAGGCGTTGTCGCTTCGGCACAAATATAGAGTTTCTTTGTCTGTTTCTGTGAAAAAATATAGAGAATATGTGTATTAGCACTCCTTGACCACTATGATTTTGATAGTTTATATATTTATGTTCGATGAATAGGTAAAGTTACCCACAAAACTTAAAAATATGCCTTCAGTTTTTTTTTTTTTTTTTTGCTTTCAACTTTTTTGTTGGTGTAATTTATGGAAATCCTGGTTCTGCATTTGGCAGACCCAGGGAATTCCAGGAGACCCAGGAAATTAGATTAAGCATATGTAAATCTGACACATTACATAATTACAGACAGTTTTGATTAGCATGCAATCGAGAAGATTGATTTCTATTTAGAGGCAGTGTCAACAGTGGGCTTCACATACCTCCATAACTAAAGAACAAATTGCATGCTTTTTAAAATTTAACAATGCACAAACAGGGACAGTTTTCTGCAACCTTTGAAATATGTAAAAGATCGGCAACAAAAAGCAATAATCGCGCGATTCTGCTTTTTTCTTTTCTGTCCAAGCTTGCTCACATGGTAGGCCTCTTTATGGAAATCCTGCTTATTAATGCGTGAGAATTTGTGTCTCAGTAGATGCGCTGACGTTGGACTGGACACATAGGAAGCGACAATCGCTTGCGACGTCCCCCTTCGCCCATTTCGGCGTCGCGCAGTAGGGGACGGCAAATGTATAACTAAAACGCGTACCCCCCCCCTTCCCCCCCCCCCCCCCCCCCCCCGCGTTCACGCCGCCTAGCGGCGACATTCTGCGGATGGCTGATTACAGATTATTAACCCATCTTGGGCTTACCTTTCTATTAGGGGTGACCTTACTTAGTACTTAGTGGCCTTACTTAGTGCACGCCGCCTCGCGGTGCCCACCGGTTTCCTAAGTACGCCCTAGCCCCGCTGTCCCCCGCTACACGTCGGTTGCTAGGTGTTACGTCACGCGGCCGGCGTGCAGGTGCGCGCTTTGGACGCCCTCGGAAACTCCTGCCGCCGGCTTTAGAGACCTGCGCACGCGCACGGGCTGCGGTTTCGCTCTTTGGCCTGCCACGCCGCTCTTGTTTCGGATCATTTTCCATGTGATGTTCATGAAATCAAATGTTAGCGGAGATAGCAGAATGGTGTAAATAAATGGTATAAACTAAACTAAAATCTTATATAGCAACTTAACAGCTGTATCCAAAACTGCTGTACGGCCAGAAAGTGGGCCGATATGAGCGTTCGGCGCACCGGAAGGCGAGGGGGAGGGGCCAGGTTAATGAAGGGCAACAGAAGGAACGCGCAGGAAAGGCGTAACGGTGAGGGAGTCAAAATCGCGCCGGCAATTGGTTCAGGTTGGAGGGAAATAAAAGCACGTTGGTGTATTCGGCGGATGAACAAACGCACGAGGTGAGTAAGAGACTGATGAACTTGCATGCTGTATAGTCGGTGACAGGGTAAGTATCCAGTCATTACAGTCAGTGTGCCAGCAAATCGCTTCCCCTCATTTCCTTAACGTCAAAAGCACGAGGAAAAATTTTTTTCCATTGCTCTAACGAGTGCGTTTGAGAAGCGATAATTATTCGGCTCTTTACGATAATTACCCGGGCATTCGTCGCAAAGTCGTGCCGATATTTGCTTTTGCCTGTGGTGAGGAACCAACATTCGTATCGCAGCTGAAACGTTCAGTGGGTCCGCTTCGTCAGCGGACCCACTGAACATAATTATTGAGTAAAAGAAAAAAAAAAAAACACACACACACACACACATTGCGCGAAACTTTTGAAATTATGGATATATATATTAGTTACAATAAGACACAATAATGCGGTGGAGAGTTATATAAAATACCTAAACACTCAAACGCGAGTAGTTTAAGTACTGCAAATCATACACTAAATAGAAAAGAATAAGCGTTGGATTTTATGATCAAATAGCACAAGGGGGAAACAGTCTAAATTTTCTGAGAAAAATGGTTAAAATTGAATTTAGTTGATTTAAGTTAAATGTACTTAAATGTACTTGTTGCTGTTGCCGTCGTGTTGCCTCAGAGTGACAGGGCCTTAAAGGCCCTGTCACACTCAGGCAAAACAATGGCAACAGCAGCACAATACATTGTCCAACAGTCGGGCAACTTGTTGCTCGTTCCCCGCGTTGTCCGACAAACCTGTCACATCGTGGCAACAGCAGCACAGGATAGATGACAGCTAAAATGTTGCCTCGGTATGACAGCTTTCGGCAACTCTGACCACTGTCTGAGCGAATTTGGGGCCGGCAACACGACAACATAAATAGCTTCGATGGCAGAGCGAGTTCCTTATCAATAACGTCTTACTCAAATAAACGGTCGGAGAATGTTATTTAACAATATTTAAGGCTGGCGTGCAGCAAAAATAATTCGATGAATGTTTTTACTGCGTAATTACGGAAAGCGATTGCCAGAAATGGTCACAGCTACGGTCGTGAACGTTCAGAATGGTGTTGAAATTAGAAGTGCCAAGAAAACAGCTCACATTATTGTTAGTGAAATGAAGTGGCATGCCTACTCACCCGCTGCTAAGGTATATTAAAAATAATCCAGAAAAACGAAGAGAAAAAAATCAAAGCATTAAAACGACCACTCTGATCATGATTGTTGATGCATGGAACCTGGATACAGCCGCTACACACACAGCGAAAAAGTACACCCCTGGACGTGTAAACCGTTGTCCCAGGGCGGACTCCCCAAATGGTGTTCGTTTTACACGCGAGGCTCGGTGTATTTCGTTTGCACCCGAGGTCTCGTGTAAAATGAACATCTTTGAACGTGTACTTCGTTCTGCGATCACACGTCTAGGGGTGTTTTTTTACAATGGCGGCCGTTTGACGTAAGACGGGTTCTACGAGCGAGGCCCGGCGCTTTACACGGCATTTCGCCGCAGCGAAAGCGTAGTTTGCACGTGTTCGTTCGTAATCGTCCATACGTGCTGAACCACCCCAAGCATTCACCCCCAAGCGCCGACGCCGTATCCATTACGGCGATTACGCGACAGTGGGAGCGACCATTGACTGCATCCAGCAGTATGTTTCCCCATCGAGCAGGTCCCGTTCGCGTGGCGGTTCAGCCGATCGCCGAGGCCTCAAGCCGGTTGCATAGTCACCGACGCCGGGTAATTTCCACAGGAGTTATCTTTTCGCGACCACAGACATGAACTTTATTGAAAAAGCCCGTTTGCCGTGAGCGACGACGAATAGCTCCGACACCGACCCGACCGGCGTTACCGACGTCCCGCGCGCGCTCACCTCTTTACCGCGAGCAAAGTTGTACGCGACGTTTCGACGTATCCACTCATATCTCGTGTGTACGCAAATTTTGGGGCTTTCCGGGTACGAACCTGCTACCGAAACGGCCAGCGTACGAAGACGAACTAAAGCCGGCGCTATGCGCCATTTAAACACCCGGTTACTTTTCTACTAGACAGCGTTGCCAGATTGAAAAGATGCTTCGGCACCAAATTCTGGCCGAAATTTCACCAGATTTCACCAACACTAAAATATCGCGTCTATTACGTATTTCCAATTCCTTCAGCTTTTTTACGCATGCACTCGCAAAGGGTAGCTTTCAGGAGGCTCATAATATAAGGCATCGCAGCACAATAAAAAAGGAAGAACGCAGACATCTGGCGCATTATCAGCATTGTTACTTTTTAATATACCATGTTTATGAGATGTTGGTGCTGGTAGTCCTTAGACGGAAAATTCAAATTAATGAAGGCCACCGACACGTAAGAAAGACCACATAATATTGCACTTCAAGACACCTGCAGTCTAAATTAAGCATACATTCTCTGCTCAGCAGTAAGAAAAAGAAACGCATAAGACCGAAGTCGATATACAACACCATGATAAACTTCAGTTCATAACAGGTTTTGAAGTCAAGCTTCAAGAAAAAAAAACTGATAAGCATGACATCTAGTCACATAACACTTCACACAAAGTCCAGTCACAATGGCACGGACTATCTCTTGACACATAAAGCACATCCATCGCTGATATCCATAAGAATATGGAACATAAACAAATAGGTTACATAAATACACTAACAAAAGGCTAACAAAACGATGTAAAATTGATTAATGCAAGTGACAAGCCATTTCTCAAGATTTTTCACCAGTTTTCACCAGATATTGTCTGGTGTAGCCGTTCCGGTACATCAACACCAGTAGCCCCCCAATTTCACCAGATTTTCCAAATCTGGTGCCGGATTTCACCATCTGGCAACGCTGCTACTAGACTGCAGCTATAGGTGTAGTTCCTTACACACTAAATGGACTACGCACGAACAAAGCTAAAATAAAATTGGGCGGCTGCTTGCGCCATCTAGTGAGTATGCGGAAAACTACAAAAATGAAACATTTTGGCATTTTCGGAAGTGACACGCTGGAACACGGACGGCGCATACCAACACATACACACAGCACATACCACATGATCAACATACAAACATACACGTGCACGAACAACAAACAGAGGCACTAACAACCCGACACTCCTACTTAATTTCAATAGTAACCCGCTCGGTATATATAGCAGACTTTTTGTTTCAGACGAAGGTCCGGTTACACCCACCGTATTTTACATGAACGTAACGATACTACACAATTATTACTTATATAGTAGGGTGACATAAATA